CAAACTATTCGGTCATGCAAGCACAACCTAGTTCACGTGATGATTTAGTCATGTGTGCACCTGATTGAAGTGTTAAATTGAATTATACTCAGCTGGAGTTCAGACAAAGGGTTTTAGTTCAGATTCTCTCAGATATGGGTTTTATGCACTTGACAATCTTTGTTTCTAGGGTTTACTGATGGTGCGGTCATCTTCCTTTTTGCATCAGTTTTTAAAGGGACTTTAATTTAATTTTCTCAAGTTATAACAGTTCGGTGATCTATACTAAACATGTTCATTGCACTAAATCCCTATCACATAAAGCGATTTTATTTTTTGTTTTTTGAAAGTCTCAGTACTTTGCAGAATGAGTTGTTTCAGGGCTCTGTCACTTTAAGGAAACAAGCTGGAGTTGGCCACGCCCACCCATCCCCTACTCAGGCTGCTATAAGCTAAGAGGCTCCAATTTCAGGGAGGGGCTTGGAGTAGAGCTTGTGCTTCTACAGCTGCACTGAAGAAGCACAGGCTATATGCTAATTTCCCCATTCGTGATGTCACAAACAGCATTTTTTAAACGACCCATTTTAGGCACATAATTCCTAAAACCACACACTGATAGAAAATGCATGAACAGCTTTGTTAATGTTTGAAGTGTTTATAGAGGCAGTAGAAACCCACATGACAGCACAATGTGAGTTTTGCTCAATACATCCCCTTTGAAGATGTCCTCAAAGTAAAACTGTGAGACATTTTATTTGTGAATCTTAGTTTTCTGCCAGTTTTGGCAGCAAGTTGATGTCAAATTTTGATGCAGTTCTTTGTATTTTCTTTCTTAATTATGTTATGAAGGATTATTATCAGAATTACCCATGCATTCAGAAATACTCAAATAGCAAAATACTCAGATAATTACAAGTTTAATAAAGCAGAAATACAAACAAATAAAATAAGAAAATGAGGGACTGACCACATCCTAATCTGGAAGTTCACAGAACTTGTGCTGTTTTTTATTTATTTCATGTTACTGTAATTTAAATCTAAATAAAGTTTTAACTCCTGTTAGTGATGAGAGCAAAGTTGAAAGCTCTGATCATGAATCATTCCTGTTCTTCAGAGAGCTGCAGGACCTGTCAGCCTTTGTCTCTGCAGAGATGTGGAGGAGTAAAGTACAGTTACATAAGAGAGCGTCTGTGATTATTCTCCTCTCAGACATTTATAAGACGACATTCAGAAATAAAGAAAACTTTTCATGCTTACAGCACATAATTCAATAGAAAAAGTGATTTTTCAGTTTTTGCATTTTCATTTATTAAGATTGACTGAATATTTGGAGGCACTGATTTAATTTATCTGTTGGCCAAATGCACACCAAGTCATTTGTCATTCTCTGAAAGCAGATTTGCATTATTGCTTAATGTAAAGCATTCAGCGCAACACAGAAAGAAAAATAACAGCCGTTCTTTCAATTATTCTTCGCAGGCGTTAGTCATTCAGTCTGATACGCCACCGTTCTTTATAAAGGAGGGTGATTAAGGTGGGTGATTACTTCTTCTAATTCCTTTGTGGTTAATGAACACTTCCTCCAGACTAGATTAATGAAAGCGTTTGCACCTTAGACCACCTCTATCTGAGGTTATTTCTGGATTGTCATTAGAAGCAGATTTAAACCTGAAGATGCATTTGAACATGCAGCCATAGTGTGTTTTCACACTAAACTGTGCACATGCATTGTGAGGAGTGTTTCCTGCACCGACCTTGCTGTGGGAATAGCAGAATTGTGATAGCAGCCCACCATAAATCACTGTCAAAAGCACAGACGGATCCAGCCACATCCCCGGTAATCTATTTGTTTGGGTAAAATATGGTGTAATTTGCTCCTGGTTTCTTGCAGCAGCAGCAAAAAAGCCTCAATGTGTGCAGCATCTTGGTATTTCCTGGATGTGGAAGGTTCAGCCAGGCAGACTATGACTTACATTGTAAGAGTATTTCTGTCATTGTGAAGAACAATGCCATCAGAAAAGTTCCTAATTCACAAAAAGATCAATGGAAATGACTAATAAACGTAATATTTTAGGCAAGATTTACTTTTCGTTATATTTTAAATAAAAGATGCACACATTATTTTATGTTGCATACCCAGTTTGTTGGGTAAAAAGCATACTACTTATTAATTAATGAATTGAAGGTAGCTTTAGTCCATTCTCCTGCCTTTGCTGCATTTATATTGATGTAGGCTGAAAAGACTGCAGCAAAACCCCCAGCATGCACCTAGAGTGGTCCATTTTCGTATTAGAGTGATGTTTAGGATAATTATCCTTTAAAAGAAACCATTCCTGGTTCATCTTCAGCTCTGTTACACATCATGTGACGTTTGCATCATACATTTGATCTTGTTTTATTCCATTTATTTCATCTTTACCTCAGAAGTGTTCCCCAGTGAAAAGGCATGCCAAATTCATTCTAGTTGGTCATTTCCACTAAAAACGTCAAATTTGTCTTCATCAGTTTACATGACCTATTTGAAAATTGTGCAGGTTTTCTTGTTTTCTTTCATAAGAAACATAAAAAGCAGAATTTCACGTTCTGGATCTAAAACGGAATAATTTCAGACATTTTTGTCGCTTTGCAACAGAAACGTGCACAACCATTTCAAAGTCTTGTTTGATCTTTAGTGTTTTTGGTTTTTAGTGACTGTTGATGCCACTTTGCATTTTAAAATGACAAATTTTACATCAATCTTTTGAAATCTGAAGATTTTAGTTTTATATTAAAAGTCTTGTTGGCTGATAAACCATATTTGTTACAGTTGAAATGCAGCCAGTCAAAATAGTTTTCTGCCCCTTTTTCACGCATTAGTCGCCAAATGAAATTAGACAGAAATGCTGCCACACAGATTTATGTAACATTATAACATTTATATTCCTGGCCTCGTCCACCTTGGCTTGCAACCTCGGAAGGCTGTATTGATTTAGCAGCCAGGAAAGAGTAGAGCAGATCTCAGCTAGTAGAAGTTAACCGTTAGCAATAGCAACTCCTTAATATGGCAGAATAATTTGGTCTTGTGTTATTTGTAGAAATAAATCATGAACGCTGCATCTTTATTCAAGGAAGAAGAGAGAACAAAGGCAGTGGAAGAGTTGAGCTGCAGATAGCCAATCAGATTAGAGACTTTTGCATAAAGTGAATATTAATGTTTCTCATTATCCTGCCGTTTTCTGACTGACTTCTATCTCCTAAGAGCACCAGAGATTTGTCATGCAGGTTACATCATTATGCTTGCTCACTTGGTTTTCCTCATGAACACTTCTTTATGTAACATTATGTAACTAAATTAGATTAGTAGCTTAGCCTCTTTTTATAATAACTTTATACATTTTTTGTTTATTACTTGTTTCAGCTGAGAGAGTAAAGGTGGTTTATTACAGCTGCTGTCACAAAGCCTGTTATGTGACCGTCCGCCACAGAAACCACAGAGTTCACGTCCAGATCATGAGAGTGAATGGATCTTTATGCCGTTTTGGGTCAACAGTGTATAAGAAGAACATTTCTTTATGTAACAGCCCTCCGACCCAACAGAAATACACCAACAGCTTAACGGATTATAGGAGAGATTGGTAGGAGAAAGGAAGTAAAGTTTTTTTTTAAGGAGAATTTGTAGGTTTTTGGGTCAACTCAGAATTAAACCAGATTGAACTGGGTTATTGTTTAAAATCCTGAATCCACGGGAGCCGGTTCAGGCCTGAAGATGATGGACGTTACGGTGATGTGAAAGATACCACATCCTATGCGTCTGTCCTCGGGGGTCCCATCTCCCGACATGTTTGGAAAACAAGAAAATCAATCAGTGTCAATTAGAGATGGCAGTCAAAGTAAACCACATACTGAGAGGGACACAGACAACAGCAGGCAACACAATTACACAGCAATCTCCCTTGAATGGGCTCCAGGTCTGAGGGGATGAGCTGATGCAAATAAAAGGCTCTTACTGTGTTTTATCTCAGGTACCCTCATGAGCAGAGACCTCCAGTGAGGATGAGAGGCAGTAGCTTCTCTGGAAGCACCCAACATCAAGTCTTTCATGTTTCAGACCTGTCCCAGTCAGAACGCACAGCTAGGGATGCCACTCTACATAATCTCTGTGATCTTCAAAGGCTCTATGGAAGACTAGGCTGGAAGATCCATGGAATTCTGTACGGCCACTTCCGTAGAAGCGCCAGCAGTCGAGTCTGGATTTAGGCTCCGAGACGTGTGAGCTTAATCACATTTGACTTGAAGTGTGAATCACAGACTAAGGAACCTTTTCTTTCACTTTCTTATCACGATGTTGTGTCGGAGACTTCATTTGCATACCGGCAACACAACAGGCTCTCACCAGTGTTTACCTCAAGGAAATGAAGCTCCAGACAAAGAGGCTGCCAGATTGCTGCAGACGTGCTGTTTAATTCTTTATTCCGTATTTCATCATAACAGATGAAGCTAGAATGAGCTTCATAAAGAGAATGAATGTTGTTTTCCCCGTTTAGTTTTCCCATTGTTTTCATCACATGAATGCAGAATCTAAAATTTGCTGCAGAATGTGTCATTTTACTATTTTTTGTTTTTCAAAATAAAAGTTTTTCTTTTGAGTTCAGCTTCTTTGAAAGATTGACTGTTTTCCGCATCACTTTTTCATGATGATGCGCGTCCACAAATTTCCGGTTGTGGTTTGATGCCTTCAGCTTTTGTGCTCTCGCTCTTCGAGGCTCCATTCGTCACCGGTTTCTGTGGCAACGTGATTTTGAAAATAGCTCCAACGGCCCACTGCTGTCGCATGTTCTCCAGGCTGAATCCCACTCTGGATGCATGACTCATTCATTGCTCATTATCATCCCACTCCCATTTCATCATCCTTATATGCCCGGGCTCCCCCGCATGGACGTCTGACGGTTGAGTGGGGGCGGGGTGGAGGCTACAAAGCTGGTGTGCTCGTGCTGCGATTGGCTGGTGGGGTCCATTTAATCTGCTGCCACTACTACAAGATCCACCTCCATCCCCCCTCCATCCTTGTTTCAGCCCGCCCTCACAGCATCCGTACACAACAGTGTGCTGTCTCTGTTCCAGGGAGAATATCAGCTCCGCACAGGGAGGAGAGGATTAGCTCAGGCATTCATCTCATCTGCATTTACGTTCATGAGCATCCAAGGCTGCACCTCTTTTGTATAAAACCTGGCGCTGCAATCCCAGAGGCTCCACTTCATCGGCTGTCACTGCTGTGAGAGGATCCACAGACCAACATTATTTGCAGACTTTCGTTACTATTTTAAATGACTGATTTGTTCTTAGCGATGTTGGTATTTAACTGGACCAATGCAAGTAACATTATATGACATGTTCTTGCTTTGAGCACCAAGGAGTTTCTTCTTTCGTCCTTTTTTTTGGGAGGTTGTTTTTTTGCACTTTTTAAATCTGTTTTGGGACATTGAACCTCCAGAATGCCATCCAAAGAGTCCTACGATGCCCTGAAGAAAGAGAAGCCTTTAGTGCAAAAGGCCAAACGAGAAGCCAATCAGGAAGATATTCTGGCGGCAGCTCTGGGGATGAGGATGGGGCCACAGAAACCTTCAGCCACTTTCTGGCAGCCACTTAAACTCTTAGCCTACTCTCAGCTCTCCTCACTGGTTCGCAGAGCTACTCTGAAGGAGAGCGACCGGACTCCCAAATCTGAAAAGGTCCACAACTTCAAGGTAAGACTTAATCAACTTGAAGGGCACTTGGTGAGCTGATCCTTTTTATTTCTTTTTCTTGAACAAAATCCTGGTTCAGAGTCACCATGTGTGTCCAGAAGGCTGCTTCTCCTCACCCCCCATGTGGGAGATGAAAAGGGAGGGAGTGGAAGGGATAAAAACAGCTTTTTTATTGTTTTTGGTTTGTCCAGCGAGGCTGTATCAAAAGAAGATCTGCTGGTGCGACATTTGGAGCACTGCTCTTATAGTTAGAGCACCAGATGGGGAGATTACGCTGCTGGAGAGGCGAAACAGTGAGGAGTTTTTTGGCCCCTGTTTTTGCCTTTTTGAAGGGACGGAGGACATCCTGGTCAGATTTTTAAAAGTGCTGATGTTAGCCTCTTTCTCCCTCGTTCTGCCGCTGCAAGCTTTTGTTGTGCTGAAGATTGCATTTTTAGCTTTCGTGTTGTCTGTTGTCTTTTTTACAATTCCAATTGTAAACAAAATGTAAAAAAGCTGTGTAAGAATTATACAAAGTAAATGACACAGTTTTTAAAAGCTGTTTTTTTCATCATGAAAACAAAAAAACATGACTTTTTACTTCAGGACAATTTTTAAGGTAATACATTTAGTGAGTTGCTGTTTTCATTGGTAATTTTTATTACATTTGCATATTTTTGTATTCATCTGCACTGGAACCTGGTAAAAGGTGCCTTTACATGTTCTCTAACAATAAATAACCAACAAACACTTGCAGCGTCTGCATGTTTTATTGGACCTGACAGCGACCCGACCCTGGATGAGAGGCAGAATTCTGGAGCTGTGGTTTTTTTGAGCTCGGGGGCCTCTCTGATTGGCTGAGCTGTTGTTACCCGGAGTGTGGGAGCATCCTTTTCCTCCACTGTTCCTATTGAAAAGTCTCCCAGCAACTTGTTTTTTCACCATGCAGATCCCCCCCCCCCCCCCCCCCCCCCACACACACACACACACACACACAGTATGATCACCCTCCACTGAGGCAGAATAAAGAAGGGGATGAGGTAAACATCTTCTCTAACATCTGTCTCTTGGTTTCAGGTCCACACCTTCCGGGGGCCTCACTGGTGTGAACACTGTGCCAGATTCATGTGGGGACTGATGGCTCAGGGGGCCAAATGTGCAGGTATGTATAAATGTTACCTGGGGTACAAAGTGAGCTTGAATCTATTTGGGTTACTTGGTTTGCTGTGATTCTGGAGCTGGATTAACAAATTTTAATCCAAAATCTCAACAGTATAGTTTGAGGATTATGGGTCATAGAGTTGGATGAAACGGGGGCTCTGGAGTTGTGATGTAGCTCACATGTTACACGATGACAAAACTTGGATTTAACTTGCTTCTGTTACCTCTGGGTTGCATCAAGCATGGAGAAAAAGGAAGTTTCTCAGACGAATTCTTTATTTTTAGAAGGAATTTTGACTCAGTGCTTCACATCCTGTCATCATTACCGCCATAACAAAAGCTTTCTGTGTTTCCACTCTGGTGATTTAATGGATTTGTCACATTCCAGGCCTGAAAACGCACAATAAGCCAAATGTGGCAGATGCAGTTCAAAGCTCTCCTCATTTGGATGGATTATGAATCCTAGAGTGAGCGCATTTTGAGAATATTCACCAACGAACAGTGATATTTTTCTAAATTAATCTTCTTTTGTGTGACAGATTTAACACAAACTAAACTGGGCTGTTGCTGGAGAGCGATCCGCTCCTCTGCTTCCCGTGAGCACCCATTTCCAATAGAGCCATAACCCAGTCTGAGGTGCACATTTGATGTTTTATTGATGCAACAAAGTGTGCCACGTACATCTGTGGAGGCTCTGATGTGAATTATTAAGATCTAGATGTTGTGAGATGACAACAATCCTTTTAAAGGCGCATACGGTAAAAGTCAATCCCTATCAACTGTAAACATGCCGTCATTCCTTCAGAGTCTCCAGCCAGGAGAATCTGGGGCACCGCAGTCTCTCATGGCTCCCACATTTGCATACCAAAACATGTTCTCCCACCCCTTTTCCCCTGTTTTTGTATGTGCGAACTGTTCTTTTGGTGGAGTGCCAAAGAGCGAAGCCTCTGCTTGTGCTTGTTGTGGCACATTTCCTCATCAGAGAGCAACCCACCCCCCTGCCACCATCCATCCAGCTTCATCCCATCATGGCCATGAAGGAAACCAAAGCTGGCGTACCTCTTTAATGAGGTGCAGAGCTGTGAGTGTGGGGAAACAGCTCCGTTTCCCCACACACACATTCAAATTCAACCAAAAGAGCTGGGTCACACAGCTCAAACCCTATTTAACCCAAATACTTGGTGTGTGTGTGTGTGTGTGTGTGTGTGTGGGGGGGGGGGGGGGGGGGGGGTTGGGGGGGGGGGGTGCACGGGGCACATTAAAATATTAAATTTGGTTCCTGACAAAGAGAGAGAGATCAATTTCAGATAGACTTGATGATGATATCTTCCTCAGAAATTAGCAACCTGTCTCCAAACTGAGTTTCTGTGGAGACCATCCCATTTCCTCTGTGTCCCTTGGGTATTCCCTCCCCACCTGGGACCCAAGGACCCTCAGTGTCCTCACACATTGACACGGGGATCTCAGTGGGCTTGTATCTGATGACATGCCATCCATTATTATTCCTCCTGTCTCATGTCTTTAAAAGAATCATCTCTTAAGGTAATTACATTTCAGCATCAATGCATATAAATTCAGGCTGTGAATTTCTCGGGGGACCCATATTAATCAAAGCCAACTGGTATGAGATGGTTATCCTGACCGAGCCTTCTAATGTAGTTTTTCATTTTAAATAGAAAATTAGAAATGTTTCTGAGGGATGAAATTTGTATTTTTAAAGGCTTTGTTGTGTTTGAGAAACAAAAAACCCTTCAGAAGTTGGAGACATGCGAGCTAAAGAGCTGCCCCATTTTAGTCTGGGAAACTAGGTCTTTTGTAGCCCGCAGCGCCTCCGTTCCTTCTTCCACAGACAGCGTGTGCAAGCTTGGATTAGGAGAAGACTAGAGCGTACAGCATCCTCTGGGCACCAGTTATGCACAGGTTCCATAACTGTCTGCATGTGTCCCTGTTCGAAAGCAGATCCGGGTCTTTTACCTCTGGTCCGTTGACCAAAGTCTGATATCAAAGCAAGAGGTTAGGGCTGTCAAACATGTGTTCTGCAGAAAAGCTGCAAACAAATACACAACTTGTTGCAGAAAGTGCTTTGAACATCTGATTGGGTCAAAAAACAAACATTCCTGAAAAAGTTTGTATAAATATTAAGGATGACCGATACAGGCATTAACATGTAAAATCAGAAATGACCGGCATTGTTTTTTTCTCTTTTTCTGACCCATGCACATATTATACACAAAACTTTCAGCCGCATCTCACTTAAAATGTCAAAATCTGACAGATCTGAGGCAAAGGTTTTGAGACACTTTCTGTTTTTTTAGCACAACTAGCCTAACTAGGTGGAATATGGAACATTTTAGTAAAAGTTATACTTAAAAAATAACACTTTCACAGGGCGCTTAGAGGTGTGCAGAATGAATGTACAGTTTTTCCTTTAAAAGCTATATTTAAAACAATAAATAATAAAATTTTTATTTTGTCGGGCACGGAACTGGGTTTATGTTTACATCTGCCAGCCACTAGGGGGCACCGTTGCTCTAAAAAGTCCGTTCAGCAAGGCGAGGCTGTGTGAAATAGCTGACTTGACGAGTCAAGCAGCTGGTTCTGAGCCCAGAAGATGTTCTAACAGTAAATACTGTTGTAAATGTATTAGTAGAACTGAGTCCTTACCCTGTATGATTCATCACTGGACACGGTGCTAGCTGGTCACTTAAAGTGTCAGCAGTGAGCCAATGCCCCGACGGCTGGAATATGTTTTCTGTTGTTGCAGTTACCACCTCTAAACACTAGATGTCGCCATTGTGTCCGTGTTCCATATGCAACCTTTAATTTGAAGTAGTCATATTTTGCACGGATGTTTAAATGATTGATGATAGCCGCGATGTGCTGTTAGTTCCCTCACATGATTTAGTTTTCTTATTTTTTATGAGAAGGGCCTCGATTGTTTATGTACCAGTTTATATCAGTTTCGGAAATGAAAGGTGAAATTAGAAAAATTACAATATCGTTCAAAGTCTATTTATTTCATTAATTCCACCTAAAAGGTGAAACAAAATGCAAAACCAGATAATTGAAGCCTTTATTTGTTATAATTGAGATGATTATGGCTTACAGCTTATGAAAAAACCCTAATTCTAAATCTCAGACGATTAGAATTCTGTGAAAAGGTTCAATATTCTCTAATTAGCTAATGAATCCAAACACCTGAAAGGGTTCCTGAGCCTTTAAAGGGCCTCTCAGTTGAGTTACTGAAATAAAGACTTTTGCCTAACCAAAATTCCAAATTTTTGATTTTCACCTGTTATAGACGATATCAGTTTAAAAACAATATCAAACATCCCTAAAAATTATATATTTTTCTAACAGAATATTTATATTTAAAGTGTGCAAATGCTCATAAATGGAGGAAAACTGTAGTTGTAGCAGAAGACTAGCACCTTGGTCCTGGCTACACTCAGTCTAGCCTTTAGCCTGTCAATCCACACAGAGTGAGAGGCAAATTTTCCAAACCGAGGCCTTTTAAAGGCCCTCTTTGTCGATTACAAATGTTAGTTGTTCATAAGGGCCTGACAAAAAGAAAAACACTTAATCGGTTTTGTTTTTTTGTCTTTTCCTTTAGATTGTGGTATGAATGTTCATAAAGAGTGCTCGGCTCTGGTACCAAACGACTGCAAGCCCGACCTGAGACACGTCCGTAAGGTGTACAGCTGTGACCTGACAACCCTGGTGAAAGCTTATAACACAGCCCGGCCCATGGTTGTGGACATGTGCATCCGAGAGATTGAGTCCAGAGGTGAGTGTGTTGTCTTTCTAAAGGGTGTGGAGGATGCTGATTGTTGTCAAACCATTTCATCTGTAGCGTGTATTGCTTAGGTTGTTAAAGACTGGACTCAATAACCGACTAATTTAACGTTTGTCTTTGGCGAGGTGACTGAGAGGAGTGATGAGAGGGCTGCTGATTGTAAATGTGTAATGAGAAAAACATTACTGTGTTTCCTGCCGCCTTAGCTGATTGCATTTTGGTTAAATCATTCAGCTATGTAGGAAAATCTCATTGTCTGCCCTCTAATGTATGTCTGAAGCTATGTGTGATTAATGTCTTTATTATTTTGCCCACTGATGCAGAAAACTGTTTGCATCATTCCGTGTTTCCCTTGTTCCATGACATTGTGGACATTTTGTCCTCAATCTCTAATGCATATCATTTATCATTTTCTAAATTACACCTCTTAAAAGGCGTATTGTTTTTTTTTCTGCATCATTCCTGACAGCTTGTGTGAAGTTTAAACATTGTTTATGCCATCTTTGCTCCTCTAGGACTCAAATCAGAAGGCCTCTACAGAATATCAGGATTCAGTGATTCGGTGGAAGAAGTCAAGATGGGTTTTGATAAAGGTTTGTCTTGTTTGTTTTACAGATTCCCGTCAGCTCACACACGACACCGGCTGAGATTACCTGTTTGCATATGTCCACACGAGACAGAACTTTTCAGAATAAAGAAAAAAATTGACATATTTGTGAAGGATTAGCATCCGTCTGGAGGTTTGAATCCTGACATCTCATGCAGGATTTCACTGTGTGGACAGACCTCAGGGGTTAGAAGCCATGCACTGCCTTGAATGTGGCTGCGTTGGGATTCAGTAGTCGACTTAGTGAGAGTAAACCTGTCCTGGGCCAGTGCAGTATGAATTTTAACTATAGGAAAAACCTTGCAGCAGTGGACTGGAGTCAGAGCTAGATCCGCATGCAGGAGCTCATCCATGACAGAGTGTCATTCCAGCTCACAGCGCTGTGATGTTCAGTCTGCCAGCACAAGTAGGCCACGGACTCTTCTGGAAGGCATACATAAACGAGTCAAAGTCAGAATTAAACAGGCCAAGGGGGTGATAGCTGATACTTGAAGAAAGAAAACATCAAGAGTAGACTTTTCTCCTCCACTCTGCCGGCATCCTCATCTGTTCACCCCGTGATGTAAAAAGGACTCATTTTCTTCCTCTTGTCTCCCTCTGCTTCCATCATACATCTCTGCAGATGGCGAGAAGACAGACATCTCAGCGAACGCCTATGAAGACATCAACATCATCACGAGTGCACTGAAACTGTACCTCAGGGATTTACCAGTTCCCATCATCGCATATGAAGCTTACCCTCAGTTCATCGAGGCTGCAAGTACGTCACAACTCAACAAATCCCTCTGAACACCTGCATCGTTTTTTTTTTCACATCCACACGAAATCACTACTTTTAAATTAACTTGGTGGATGTGACCACTGTTGGCTGAAATTAATTAGCAATAAAAAAAAGGTGGGAGAGAAATAAATGGTTATTCAAATACAGTTTCAACTGAAAATTTTGCATATTTTTGAGGGTAAATGTTTATTTTTAAATTCAGACAATTGATTCTTTTTTAACATTAACGTTCTTTTATAGAAACACATTTGTGCCACTGACTCTTCTCAATATTATGAGTAAACAAGACCAAATAATGATCAATCTCATGTTATGATCCTGAAAAAAGGAAAGAAAAAAGAAGCTTTACTCATAACTGCAGTTCAAACCCCGCCCACCCTTCCTCAGGAACACTAATGGCTTTTAGTGCACTACAGGAAGTGCATTAACTCCTGAGTGCTTCCTTTGTCTACCTTTAAAGAACGCTGAGTGTACAGATTAAAAAGTAAAAGTAATTTCTCTCAAAACTCTGCAGTCGCTTTGTGTTTTCGATAGTCTCGTTTGTTTTTGTCATCGTATATCTTTTACTCTTTAGCTAGACGTTGAGTAGAGACTTCAGGTTGGCTCTCTTTTTACCCGCCGGGCCCCTGATCCCACACCCCGAGGACCCATTCAGGAATGTTTTCATGCTGATCACGCCCTCCTCTCTGTTTGCCAGAGCTCACAGATCCAGAGAAGAAGCTGGAAGCTTTCCGCGTGGCTCTCGCTTTGCTGCCACAATCCCACAAAGAAACCCTGAAGTACCTCATGTCCCATTTAAAACGGTGAGGAATCCAAACAAGTTCTTCTACAACAAAACCAGCACAGAACACAGAGCCTGTTGTTACTCAGAGCTTCATCGGTGCAATTTTGGTCAATAGATGAGATATTTTTTAGTCTTCAGGCCTGCTGAGTCATTAATCATTAATGATGTGTGTCTTTTCCTAACTTTAAAACACGCTGCAGGGTGACACAGAATGAGAAATTCAATCTGATGAATGCTGAGAACCTCGGTATTGTTTTCGGGCCGACCCTCATGCGTGCACCCAACCAGGACGCCATGACAGCTCTGAATGACATCCGCTTCCAGAGGCAGGTGGTGGAGGTGCTCATCAAGAACGAAGAGGTGCTCTTCTAAACGTATAAGGACTTTTGTACAACCGCACGCTAACCGTTCCTTTGGACTCTTTGAAGTACTTTTTGAAAGGCCGCGTGTATGGACTAGAGCAGATCTAACATCTGCCCCTCCCCTCGTCCGACTCTAGGTGTGGAAGAGTTTTTTTTTTTTTACATAATCGATGGCTCCCCATTTTTGTCGGGGGATTTTCTCAAGCTGACGTGTGTATGACGTAGACTCACTTAGCATGTGTTGAGACTGTGTAGCGTTGTACTTTTCCTGTCACATCTGTAGTAGTTTTGGTATACACTCCCTGCTGCCTGCTGTGCGGCTATTTCTGTGAAACTTTGTATATCTGGCTGTGAAAATAAGCTACTGATTTTTCTGGGGTTATTTTTATGATGCTGTATTTTTTTACCTTCTTAGTTTGTTACTATAGTTTTGTCACGTGAACGTTAGGTGAACAAACCTTTCCTTTTTTATGCACTGATGATTGTTTTTTGCCTGATAGTGACATTTTTACTGTTATAAACACTTTTACTTGTGACATTAATTTTGTACTGTAATGTTTTTGTACACAACTTGTGCATGATTAATTTATTAAACCCTGATTTGAGAAACTGTTTCAGTTTCATTGTCTTAAATTAAATGAAGTGAAAGTGCAGTTTTTAATGGGATTTTGCAAGCCTGATGTGTGACTGTATGATGCCAAGTGTAAATGTGTTTGTGTAAAAGGGTTAGCTGAGAAGTTTAGATACTTAGCTAACTTTTCTTACGTTACATCCTTTTAATTAGAAAACTGGCTATAAATCGTCATATTCCAACATATTTTTGGTTTACATTTAACATTTCGAATAAGCATTTATGTTTAGATTTAACATTTTGATTTGCTATAATCACGTGAAATGTAAACATGCTAAAGGTTAAGTTTCAAAACGTGAGAAAAGTAAACTAAATATAAGAAAATTCTGTAACACTTTACAATAAGGGTTCCTTTATTAATGGTACTTAGTGCATTATTAAGCATTAATAAACTAAGTGTTCCTTTATTAACATTTCTGTTATTACTATTAAGTGTCCTTAAGGTTAGGACAAAGGGCCTGGTGGGTGTCTGCTTAGTAATGCATTACATAATAACATTTGTTAATACTTTATAAATGGTTTATTAATGCTTGCTAAAGGTTAAAGCTCCAGTAGACTGGAAAAGACTCCCCCTGGAGATACGGTTGATTACTTCTTTCCAAATATTCAAAACTACTGTCTACTCACATGTTGCATCTTTTTGAATTTGTAATTGTCTTTGAGTTTGGCATTTGATGTTGCATACTCATGCAGATAAAGCAACGTTTATTTCCTCTTTCCTGTTTGTTTCAGGGTTTTATTTGATTGCATTGTTTAGTTTTTGCTGATGCCACTGATAGTTCTGCTATCCTTCATTGTTTCGGTGCTTTAAAGGAAGACCCCCTTGAAAACAAGATGATGCATCTCAAGGGGTTTTATCCTCTGGAAGTATTAAATAATGCACTAAAAAACATTAATAAAGGGACCCTTATTGTAATGTGTTAACAAAAAGTTTCTGCTAAATTTAAAATTTAGACTTGGCATCCCATAAGTCACAACCAGCCCAGCAAATGTTCTTTTGGTTTATCTTTTAGCCTCCGTTCTGCTTTCTTCTGTCACTAACTATATTCTGTAAACATTTGCCCGCAGCGTTTGCAAGTCATGCTTGCTGAATTACAAGTGAACCAAAATGGAACCGCTGTGGCCCGGAAAGCAGAATCAGTGGGACGACAGATACTAAAAATACTCTGAGAAGTGTTTCACACACTGTCTTCTGATTTTTTTTCTCCCCGTGAAAAACACGTGTAACAAAACCTGTAGTAACTACAAAGCAGGTTTTTTTATGCTTAAAGGAGTCGTATTAAAAGAAAATGCATTTACCTTGTTGAGTCTAGGTAGCTTGGGGTGTCTAACCTTCATGTAAACATGTAACACCCGTGTTTGCACACGTGTTGAACTGAATATAGCAGGTTTTTGATGACGGTACTAATCCTAATACTCCATCTGTATGCTTTAAGGCTCAAAATGGTTTCATGTGATTTTGAAGTTTGTTTTAAACAATAATGCTGCTTAAAATGAGGGTCATCTCAAAGACCGTGGTGGGGTTTATTTATTTATTTATTTGTTGTTGCATATTTTGTAAAAAAAAAATTATCATACATCACATGACTCAAGCAATTAATCACTCTTTGGTTCACTTTAATAATAAAAGCAGCCCAAAATCACCCAAGGCAACGTCACCGTGCTCAACAGAGGCTGTTAATTACTGCATATATAAGTGTTAAAAATGTCACACAGAAATAATGAAATTCAGGTTTAATTACCCACAGGTTATTTCTTTCCAAGCAATTTCCAGGAACCGGTCATGCTCATCATCAGCAACCCATTGCAGGATCTCTGTTCATGCTGTAAAAGCTTAGAGAACAGATCAAATCAATTCTCTTCTTAAACACGAGGAACTCTGGTGCACGGTTTATATTTTAGCCGTTTATGTCTGCACATTTTTCCCAGCCTCTGTATTTCTGTGCCTCAAATATCAGCAAATATCTGAGCAGCGATCAGGGCTTGACATTTAATCACTGTGGTGTTGTGACCGCGTCACGTCGCGATAACGTTAGCTAAATCCACTCGTCTCTGGTGATTGTGCAGCAGAATTGGATTTTTATGCCATCATTCAGCCTTCCTCCCCCCTCACCATTTTAAATATATCATGCATTCATCTATGATGGGCATTGACTGCAGAAGGAGGCCAATTGAGCTATCAGTTAGATAAGGCCAGAGGATTTGTTGGATGTGCATTATTTACAGCTCTGAGGGTGAATCTAAAAGGCTGTGATCCATGAAAAAGCTGACCTTTCTGTCTGAAATGGATGTTTTTTCTATCTATGAACAATTGGCCTAAATACATCTCAAAGTGTTGAAACATAAAACACTATTTAAATACCCCAAAGGGAGGTTTATTGTTATTTTTGGAAGATGCTCCAATTTTCTTGCGTGTTAATTTTTAAATCTGACGTGTAAATGTCTGCATGTTTGTTTTTAAAATGAAGATCAGTTTTAGTCTTTAAACCTACAGAAATAAAAAAAATGCTCATATGTCTCGAGCATAAACACTTTCTTTTTTGTGGCTACATATTTTGGGGGAAAAATCTGTTATTTATGTTGCTCTAAGCATATAATCCATAATCTCTTCTGTGAAAGCTTTCTAACCCTCCTAATCTTTACCGAGGCATAAACATCCACTGTGTCCAGTTTCCATCAACCCCCTGCAGATATCAGGCTCTTACATTCAGACTCAGAGAACATTAAATCACTTTAAAAGCAGCGGTAAGCACACAAAGTATCTGACAGGGTCCCCAAAAAACATGCACACAAAGAAGGACGTTGTTCAGCAGATTTGGACAAAGACAAAGGTGGTGCCAACATGGTGTGAATTCAGGTGATTGGATGAGAAGAAAAAGAAAGGGGGGGGGGGGGGGGGTTGAGGTAAATCTCTCTAATTCAAATGTTGCCAAAATGGTCATTTGTGGCTAAGTGAGATGAATGAGGCTTGTGGATGAGTGGCTGGCTGATTGAACGACCCGGGGATGTGAGGAAATTGAGCTGCGCGATCCTTCGCAGGCCTGATGGAATAGGGTGATGCAGAGCTAAGAGGATATGTGAGGGTGTAACGCATGGCCTGCTTTGTTATTTATTGTTTCAGAAGGACTTTAAGGACAGTTTTGGTATTTAAAATAAGCCTGATCTTGTTTGAAAGGCTCTAAAATGCAACATCACAACTGTAGTGTTGTTTTGTTAAAACTTTGTGGATTCCTGGACTTATTTTTTGTTTGATTGTATTTACCTACTGGGGGCATGAGTTATAATTTCAATAAGGAACATCATGAGAGAAAAATAATTAACATGTATTTGGATTTTTGTGCAAAAGTGTTTTTCGTCGTCGTCGTCGTCTTCCTCCGCTTATCCGGGTCCGGGTCGCGGGGGCAGCATCCCAACTAGGGAGTTCCAGACTGTCCTCTCCCCAGCCTTCTCCACCAGCTCCTCCGGCAGGACCCCAAGGCGTTCCCGGACCAGATTGGAGATGTGACCTCTCCAACGTGTCCTGGGTCGACCCGGGGTCCTCCTGCCAGCAGGACATGCCCGAAACACCTCCCCGAGGAGGCGTCCAGGAGGCATCCTGGCCAGATGCCCAAACCACCTCAACTGACTCTGTTCGATCCGGAGGAGCAGCGGTTCTACTCCGAGTCCCTCCCGAATGTCCGAGGTCCTCACCCTATCTTTAAGGCTGAGCCCGGCCACCCTACGGAGGAAACTCATTTCGGCCGCTTGTATCCACAATCTCGTTCTTTCGGTCATTACCCAAAGCTCATGACCATAGGTGAGGATTGGGACGTAGATCGACCGGTAAATCAAGAGCCTGGCTTTCTGGCTCAGCTCCCTCTTCACCACGACAAATCGGCTCAGTGTCCGCATCACTGCACATGCTGAACCAATCCGCCTGTCGATCTCCCGATCCCTCCTACCCTCACTCATGAACAAGACCCCGAGAAACTTAAACTCCTCCACTTGAGGTAGGACCTCTCCCCCGACCCGGAGTTGGCAAGCCACCCTTTTCCGGTCGAGTGTTTTTATTTCAGTAATTCAGCTTAGACTGAGAGACCATCTAAAGGCTTAGGAGCCATTTGCAGGTGTTTTAGATTATTAACTGATTAGAGTGTGACACTTTGAGCCTAGAGTATTGACTTTGTTCTCGTCTTAGCTCGTCACCTTGAGTCTCTTGATGCTGATCCATAACTGGCAACAGCTGCTTAGAGTGGACTTTGTTTTGATACATGAGGTGTGTTGTCTTGCGAGGCCAGCCACCTTGCTTACGAGGACACTGTACTTCCTTGGTCAAAGAAAACGGTTAAATGGAGCAGACTTGCATCACGCGACCGCGGCTTCCACAGCAGTCAAGTAACGTCACGTGACACAGGAGATAACGTTATATTTTACACATATAAGTTTCAATATAAATGTATAACGAACCTTTTACTTTTTAAATTGTGTATATGTTTATTAAATTAAAAATATAAGCAAGTTACTACCTGCTAGCCACCAAAGCTGCAACTACTAAGCAACTAACCAACAATACATAACTTCTTTGGATCTAAAAACAACATTTTAAATTAGCTGACTTACTTTTAAACTTGAAAATTGTCCCCGAAGTAGCTGCCGGCTTCTGATCTGCCGTCCTTTTGAAAATACAGTGGTGTATTCTGGGTAATTTTTGGCCACGGCTAGGCTGCAAGACACCTCCCGTGTGTCCTTGCTCAGCTAGCTAAACGGCTAACAAACGGAGAACACACGCCTCAGTAGAACATGAACATTGGAACCGATTGGAACATGTCTTGGCGGCTCCTGATGACGTACCTCCTTGGCAACCGGGGCGGGGCCAAGACATCAAGGCAAGGTTCCTTGACATTGAGAAACACTCATGGACTGCAGTGCATGAATTTCACCACAGGATGTCATTCGTACTTCATGAACCTTTAAAGGTTTCCAAAATATCATTATCATTTTT